TAACTTCCACACCAACTTCTGCTCCTCCTCCCTTTCCCGCCGTTCCATAGGATTTGCCATTGCTGTTAGCTCACTGGCTAGCGCATCCCTCTCATCCGGAGTCACATACGACTCCGCCTCCTCGTCTTCTCCCAATGATAAATTAGCAACCCACTCACTTATCTTTTTCTCCATCGATGCATCTGTATCCCTCTTCGTGCCACTACGCCCCTCGCTACTTTCAATCCTCATTCTCTCTTTTTCTTCTTCTGCTGCTACTTCTGCTTCAGCAGCCTTTCTCCTCTCTTCCTCCTCTTGTTGAACTCTCTTCATCTCCTCCTCTAACTTCTTCATCTTTGCCGCCTGCTCTTCTGCAATCGCCTTTAACTTCTCCTGCATCAAGAGCTCCTTCCTCTCCTTGTTCGCTTTCGTTAAGGCGGCCATCTTTTCTTGCTGCTCCATTGTGTAGGTGCTAGTGTCTATCCCACTACGGGTCTCAACCATGGTGATAGGTGTACAACCGGATTAGTGGTTCCAAACCTCACCACGTAGACTCTGACCCCTGACTGACAAACCTATTGACTCAATCTAAGGACTTACATAATCTTGACAAGGATCCTGCCAACTATGGTCTGTAGCCTAGACCTACACTATGGTTGTCACTACTAGACCTGTTGCTGATCAGGAGGCATTTAAGGAGATTCCCCAAACTCCTCAGGAATTATTTAACGTCGCAGATAGGACGACGCGATCAGCAGGTCTCTCAATACTTGGACGGTCTGTTGTACAACCCACATCTCGGATTTCGAGGCCTACCGTGCCACACCGAGCAGCCCGCCAGTCAGTACCGGTCCTTGGGAGGGTTTGACCTCCGGGACAGTCGAGTCGTCAGACACAGCTTTTAGCCCTACTTATCCCGTGTGGGTTTGGTCAACAAGACCCTTTCCTTCATCCACGGAGTACTATCGCCTAGGACAGAAGAGACTGGATGCGGAAAGAATAGACAGATAGACTGGACTCAACAAGTACCAAGGGGTGTGTGCACATCCATAGGGCGAGGCGTAGGCTGAAGGCTTGGCGAGATATTTCCGGCTCCTACTTGGTCAACTTGTGGTCAACGGCCTTGGTCAACGTCGGTCAACGCTGCTATAGCCCCCGGTCACCCCTCGGTCAACTTCGGTAAACGCCAGTCAACACCTCCGGTCAACCCTCTTGGTCAACCCTCCGGTCAGCTATGGTTGCCGACTCCTCTTCTTCGCCAGTCCTCTTCTCCCTTTCACCTTCCTCGCCTTTTTGCACCCTGGTTGTCTTTTTTTTTTTTTTTTTTTTTTTTTTTATCGGCCTTCTCTTCACCTCTCGGCTATGGCCTGTTTATCTCCCTTCTCGTCTCTCCCCCTTTGTCCGGCCTCTCTCCCTCCTTCGTTACTCCGTGGTGACACCTCGCCGCTATGGCCGCTTCTCCTTCCTCCACGTGGGACTGCATAGCTCGCTTCACAGGTAAGTGACAACCAAACTGGTATCGCTCATCTCTCTCTCTCTCTCTCTCTCTCTCTCTCTCTCTCTCTCTCTCTCTCTCTCCCTCTCGCGCGCGCCGTAGCGGTATCTTCAACGCAGCAGGTACGTAGTAACCCAATCTTGTATCGCTCAACCTTACTCTCTCTCTCTCTCTCTCTCTCTCTCTGTCTTCTTCTTCGTCGTGATCTTCGTGCAGGTGCGCGGCGGCTTCTCCAACATCAGGTCCACTATGGCGGACTACTGCCTTCGGCGGCCACCTCGGCTATGGCGCATCAGGTCCTGCACACGACGACGCGCATGGAATAGCGGGTACCAGCTCCGATACCAATGCAATCAGACTCGTTCTCGTTCACACTTTTCATGCATGTAAACAGCAGCACAGCAAACTGGCGACATGCGCCCACTCAAAAACTCAGAGATATGGCTTCCAGATACGAGTTCACTTTCAATTGGCTATGGCGACTCAGCGCCCAAACAACTCATTGTTCACACACACCGGATCACCTTGGATATCCCACACGCGTAACTCTGAACACTCACACATACACACACACACTTCACACTAACTACAACTATGGCAGCTATGGCTGCCTCTACTCTATCGCTATACTAAGCTCCTTCTCTCTCGCCCACTACTTCCTTGCACAAGTCGCTGTGACAGCGCTTCCGCATGGCTGACGCAGGAATGAATGCAAGGCTGGGCGCTGCCTCTTGATTTATACTTCGGAAACTCGTTGGTCTTCCCTTTGCCATCGGCCCATGGTGCTCACAGTGCCCCGTGGTACTTGCTGGACCGGACTGGGACTGACTGGACCTTACAGCTGACTGACTGTGGACTCACCGCTAACCTACGGTAGTCGTACTGCGATTGCAATGCAGTATAGTCCACCACTTGGCTCACCACTTGACCACTTGCCCACTTGCCGACCTTCTAGAAGGGCTACAGTTAGACTTCTGGAACTCGCTAAGACTTCTACCCTACAGATCTACAAATCCAACCCCTGCTACCTATGGACCTATGACAGACCTACCAGCTGTCTACGAATATACAGGTCACAGGTTAAACTCTCGGGGTCTACACGAGTACTGTACATGGGTAGGACGAGGTCTAGGGATCGAACCCTGGGTACTGCGCCTGCTACTGCTAAAAGGTGAAAACCATTTCAATCAAGTAGGACTTCGCCAAATCTTTGATTTTTTTTTTTCTTTCTCGCAACAAGTATCTGAAAATTTGTGATAATAGCATTTCGTTTTATCAGGAAAATTCCTGATAATAACATTTCGTTTTATCTGAAAATTCCTGATAATAGCATTTCGTTTTATCTGAAAATTCCTGATAATAGCATTTCGTTTTATCTGAAATTTTTTTATATTAGCATTTCGTTTTCACGCAACAAATATCTGAAAATTTCTGAAAGTAGCATTTCGTTTCTCTTATATTAGCATCTGAAATTTGTGATATTCGCATACATAGCCGAAAATTTCTGATGTTAGTTAGCATTTCGTTTTCTAGGCATATTAGGATAACGATAGAGGTGGCCATATTCTCGAAAACCGGATTTATTCTGTTCTGAAAATCGAATCTCCATTCTATCTCGCTAAAGTTTTTGAAAACCGAAATCTTGTGAAGCATATCAGCATTCGTTTTTAGGCATATTAGGAGGTTGTCATATTCTCAGAAACTGGATTCGCATCTCTACTCTATTTCGCAAAAAAAAATTTGCTTTTCAAGATCGCATTTTGTGAAAGTCGAAACTTTGCGGAACCTGGCCTTGATCTCGCTGATAGCACTCCTCTGAGATGCCTCACTCATAACAGATCGACAGATATACAAAAAAAAAAAAAGGGGGGGGTAGATCCTCTTCTTTTATTTTTTTATTTTTTTTATTATGTTGATTAGGACCGGGAGGAAAGTATAGCTTGGTTGGTTACCTACCTGCATTTTCCCTCCCACCCAACCCTTTGCCTGCATTCCCGATTGGTACAGTGCCACGTCAGCAACAGTGCCACGTCAGTAGTGCCACATCAGCAACAGTGCCACGTCAGCAGTGCCACGTCAGCAGTGCCCCGCCACCATGACAGTCTCAGTTCTGGGCATGCCAGGCCAATTGGCCAATGAGTCCTTGCGAGTACTGACAGCGTTTCAAAGCTCAACTCGCACTGATCGAGGCTGAGGAGCAGCGTCAGGCGGCAGCCGAAGCTGCCCGCGTACAAGCTGAAGCGGCGACAGCAGCTGAAAAGCAGCGGCTTCAGGCCGACAAAGACACAGATACCCAGGCACGCCGCAAGGAGGCCCAGGATCTGGTACAGTGGCATGAAGCCACCAGCATCGAAAAGCTCAAATTCTGGCATTTTGAACCATCCGAGCCCCACTAAGACGCGGCACCGGAAGAGCAGCACAAGGAGTTCCTTGCCAAACTTGTGACCCGGTTGGTTTACACTCGTAACCATCTGCAGTCCGAGCTGGCGAAGCTCCGACGGGCGGTGCGGAACCACAAGGATCTGCACGAGGATGCTACACGGGCACTTGATTCCCGTGTAGAGGACTTCGAGCAAGTTGAACCAAGACCAGATGCTGGCGAGTCCTACGGTGCATCCTCTACCCGCCAATTGGAGGAACGAGTTGACCACGTAGTCGCAATGCTCGGCGACATCAGCACCTTCGTTGCACCAACCACCATCAGCAAGCAGTTGGACACCTTGAAGACCGTGGTTCAGCAACTGCACCAGCGGCCCAACAAGAATGGCAACACTAGTGCGCAGCACTACAAGATGCCGACATTCCAAATTGAAAAGTTCGATGATTATACGCATCAAGACCCCGTTCCTTGGTGGGAGGGCTTTACGACGAAACTTCGGATCCTTTTCGTCCCCGAGCACTCGTACATCGGCGCGCTGTTCCTCAACTCCAAGGGCTTATGCCGGATCAAGCTCAGCCACCTGGCAACCATTCACGGCATCCAGGTCGCTGATGTGCATGAGAAGATCTTTTGGGAAGAGTTAATGAGGCTATGGAAGAAGCAGTTCATTGTGGACGACGCCCCGACGCTCGCCATCAACCGCCTCTTCGCCATGATGCAAGGCAACACATTGACACGCGACTGACTCACGGAATGGCAAAAGATCGCGGCAACACCCGATCTCGAATTGCCATTTTTGCATCTGCGCCGAGATGCAACCGGTCATGTGCCGCCTTGAGCCTTGCACTTGGTGATCGTGAGCAATACACGACCTTCGCTGAAATCATCGACAAGGCAAGGGAGATCATCAAGACTAACAGGGCGGCTGCATATGAGAAATCGGCGTGGCAGCCAACCTATGTGGAGAAAGGAAATTTTGGTCTGGGTCCGCAGCATGTCGTTGCAGTCCAAACGGACAACATTGTGGAAGACCCGGCAGCCACCCAAGCATCACGTGAGGGAAATCAGGTGGCCGCTGTCCAGCCTCGAAGCAACAACTACTCCCGAAGTCCGGCCCATCCACCACGAGATCATCCTCGAGGCCGGGGCCGTACCTCCGTGTGGTTGCATCTACCACATGAGCGAGGAAGAGTTAAGTGTGCTACGGGCCCAACTCGACGATCTTCTCGACAAAGGCTGGATTCGGCCTAGCTCTTCGCCATACGGAGCTCCCATTCTCTTTGTCCGGAAGAAGAACAAGGATTTGCGGTTGTGCATCGATTATTGCAAGCTCAACTCGCAAACCGTCAAGAATGCTGGCCCTCTTCCGCGCATCGACGGCCTCCTCGAACGGCTGGGCGGCGCCAAGTTCTTCTCCAAGCTTGACCTCAAATCGGGATATCACCTACTCGAGATCCGGCAGGAGGACCGCTACAAGACCGCGTTTAAGACGCGATATGGGCATTTCGAATGGCTGGTTATGCCTTTTGGCCTTACGAATGCCCCGGCCACATTCCAAGCGGCTATGACAACGGAGTTCCGACACATGCTGGATAGATTCGTACTCATCTACCTCGACGACATCTTTGTGTACAGTCGGAGTCTGGACGAGCATGTGGAGCACCTGCGCACTGTTTTGGAACGGTTACAACAAGCCAAGTGCAAAGCCAACCGCGACAAATACGAATTCGCGCGGCAAGAGTTGGAGTACTTGGGACATTATGTGACGCCCCAAGGCATCCGTTCACTTGCGAACAAGATCGAGGCCATCCGCGTATGGCCTGAGCCCACCAACACCACGGACGTTCGCTCATTCATGGAGTTGGCGAGCTACTATCAACGCTCCATCACCGGGTACTCAAGGATTGCCGAACATATGACGAGATTACAATTGCCAAAGGTGCCATTCGTACTCGATGACGATGCACGCCGGTCATTCCAAGCACTCAAGACGGCCATGCTGATAGCACTCGTCCTTAGCATCTACGACCCCGCACTGCCAACGAGAGTGACAACTGACGCTTCCGGCTGGCATTGGGGCAGTCTTGGAACAACACGACTGCGACGACTGACACCCCGTGGAGTATTTCAGCCACAAAGTGCCTCCCATCAATTCACTTGATGATGCAAGGAAGAAGGAGCTGCTCGCGTTTGTGATGGCTCTCAAGCGATGACGGCACTTCCTCCTTGGGCGTCGTAGGTTCACATGGGTCACGGACAACAACCCGTTGACCTACTACAAGACGCAGGATACGGTGAGCAGCACGATCGAATGATGGATGTACTTCATCGACCAAGTTGACTTCACACCGAAACATCTAGCCGGCCTCTCCGATCGCGCAGCAGATACACTCTCGCGAAGACCCGATCTTTGCGCTATGACACATCATGCCTTCGCATTCAACGAGGAACTCTAGCGACACTTCATCCGGGGCTATGAGTCGATCCGGATTTCTCCACGTTGTATGCATAGCTATCTTCGGATCACCCACCGGCCAGCCACTATCGCATCGTTAATGGGTACTTGCTCCTCCACTCGCGAGGCAAGGACTTATTGTGTGTCCCACGCCACCGTCGTCTTCGGACTCGCCTTCTCGGTGAGTACCATGACTCACGACTCGCCGGCCATTTTGGAGTCAATCGCACTATTGCACGGCTTCGGCAACGATTCCGATGGCCTGACCTCATTACCGATGTCACTCGGTATTGCGACTCTTGCGAAGTTTGCCGACGAAGCAAGCCCCACAACCGCAATCCCTACGGCAAGTTGCGCCCGATGCCTTTCCCACGGGAACCCGGCCTCTCCATTGCCATGGACGTCACCGGTCCGTATCCCCACGACCGCCTCGGGCACGACGGCATCCTCACGGTCATTGACCATTTGAGTAAGTATGCGCAATTTCTTCCTTGCAACTACTATGCCACGGCTTCTGAACTTGTGCGCCTCTTACACACCGGCTGGATATGCAGCCACGGCGTCCAGGAAGACATCGTTAGCGACTGCGACACTCGCTTCATGTGACATTTTGGACTTGTCTCATGCAGGAATCCGGCACGAAGATGAAACCAAGTTCGGCCTGGCATCCACAAACGGACGGGCAAACGGAGTGGGCACATCAAACCGCTCAAATGATGCTTCGTACGCTCATCCGTTCGGATTAGAAGGATTGGGTTGACCGCCTCCTCGACATCGAATTCGCCTACAACACTTCATTGCATTCGGCGATCGGCGTGCCTCCATTCAAGTTGCACCACGGTGGCCGGAAAGGCCGTATCTTCGCATCTTCTCCTCCCACGAACAGCCGACATAGACGTTGCTTGCTCCCCTGCTTCCGTCTGGAAGTACAGGAAACTGCTGGCTCAAGTGCGCGTAAACACGCAAAAGGCGCAAGTCCGCATGCAGCAGCAAGCCAACAGGCGTCTCGTGCCATGTCCCATCCACGTCGGTGATCTGGTGTGGGTCTCCGCGGAAGAGCTTGCACCTGAGTAGGATGTTTCACGCAAACTGCTTCCCAAGTGGTTTGGACCATGGCCCGTAACATCAGCCGCGGGAGATGAGCCCGATGGCCCCTCATTTGTGTTCAACATCCCCCCGCATCTGACGGTCCATCCAGTCTTTCACGCCTTGAAGCTGGCGACATATACACCAGCTAAGAGTGACGACTTCCCGAGCCGAAGATCGCAAGATCCTCCATCTATGGATGGTCATCAGGAAGTTGACCGCTGTCGGGGCTGAACCCTGAAGGACTTTTGAGCCTTGGTCGACCCCACTGCGGGTCCCACTTGGCTCGACCCGCCCACGCTCATTCTCAGGGCGCGGGTCGTTCGTCCCAGGGGCACCCCCACCTAGTGCTATGAGATGGATGGGGTTGGGCCAATAGGGCGATAGAGCTTGACATTGGGGATGTRGCTCAGCCCTCTAGCCGGGTGGTAGCCTCACTGGTCTAGGTCTGCAGGCGTAAGGTTTTCGATTCTCCGTTTGTCTTACCAGGCAATTGCTCCTTCCAATACTCAGGCAGTCCAGGGAGGTTCATTGAGAGCTTTCTCTTATTTACGGTGCGTAGGCTAAGCGTTCTCCTTAGGCCACGCACCCCTTCGCTAACGGCCCTAGTTTCCTATAACATCATCGGGGCGGCTCGTCCCTCTCCCCCTAGCCCCTATCTTTCCTCTAGTCGGCCTATGCATACATCTCCTAGGTCTCGTGACCGCCGTTAGTCCTTCCAGGCGGCCGTACCAAGCTCGCGACCTAGCCACAACCACACATCACGGCAAAGTCAGGCTCCAACCCCATTCCCGACCCTTAGTCTTTTCAGGTCGCGCTAGTCATGCAATCGTCAAAGCCCAAAGTCCATCCCAGCCGTTCGAGATTCAAACCCCCTTTCCCTCGTTACGGTCCCATGTCGCACAATCCCTTCATTRCCAGATCGTCCRAGCCACTTACCTGCARCACATCCAAATAAACATGACAATGGCATAMGTCCGTCCCCGATGGGGTCAACACACCGCCCSTCATGCAAGTCCAAGTCTTCCCTTTCCTTTTTCCATGCTTTTGGGTGCTTTCCTTCCTTCCTCACAGTCAAACCACACTCTTCTTACTCAGGCATGCAGTCGAGGAGGTGGTTAAGTCGACTGACCTTGTCCAAAACAACACTCCTTTTTGCTCTCACCAATGTCCTCAATAGTCGCGTATCCTCTCCTTCTTCGTGGCACAAGGGACCGGCAGCCCTTCCCTTGCCCTCGCTTTCCACCAAGTGGGGACCAAGTTCCTTTCCGTTCGTTCCCTGGCAATGTAACGGTGAGGATAGAAGTTAGTCACATGCCATGGAGGGGAAGGGGTGACGGAAGGCTTGAGGGGTTAAGGAATTTTGAAGGAACGAAGGGAGA